ATTTTAGTTACAATATTAAGCAGACACGCACTAGTGTGACTAGAATTTCTCCATTTCTGACTTAAAAGAAGACTCTCTTTCACATTCACATCACTTTGATTTAAAGAATTCCACTGTTAGTATATGCCTATCATTCTACAGTGTTCGGCAAACACTCAACACTCTAGATTAAAACATTAAACCGCAATTAACATTTCAGAAAGGAGCAGCACAAAGACTACCTCTCCTTTGACTTCATTCTTTCCTCAAACATGAAATAATGATTTTCTGCCAGTCTAATTACAGAGGCAACATCTGATCTGTGCTGCATCCGAGGGGGATTAACTCCAGCACAGGCATTAGAGCTCATTACCAGCTTGAGTGCAGAAATATTACATCTTGTAATTGGATGGAGAGATTTATATACTGATCAGATGGGGTTTCTCTAATAATATTGTGATTAGAGGCTTAGTTTGGACTGGGGGGGTTATCAGTCAGAGCAGGGATGGGAAAAGGAGGATTTTATTAACCTTTGACCCATAGTGAAGATGCTCACCTCTAGTCAGTATAAGAAAAAAAAGATAATCGACCAAGTTAACCCAAATTGAATTGAATTGAATTGAACAAGTTAGCTCATGTCTAGCTTGATGATAACGTTATTCCCATTAATTGATTTCGTTGCTTTCTCAAAAAAAAAAAAAAAATCAAGTTCAAGTCAAAAGTTCAAAAAAATTTAAATAAAAACGGCTCAATTAAAAAAAAAAAAAAAAAAAGTTTTGTAAGTGTTTTCTGCCATTTTGCTAACTTCCACTATTTCAATATAGGCTCAACAACAAGTCCTCTATCCAAAACTTTGTCCTGCAAAGATGCACAAAATGACTGACAGCCAGAAGCATTTGTAACTGGCTAGTCCTCTGATTGGCTAAAAATGCTTGGGCTCCTCCCCTGACTCTTTTCCTATAGCTGTTTAAAGAGCTTGAAGTGATATCTCAAAGACACTGCTGTCAGTGATATTTGTCAGTTAGTAACAATATTTCACATCTGATATTCTAAAAAGAAAACAACTAGGCCTACATCACTTTGAAATGAATAGTTCTAATAATTTACTCACCCATGTGTTGCTCCAGTCTTATTTTCTTTCTTCGGAGGAATCACAAAATGAGCACTTTAAAAGTATCTTAACAGGAGTCAATACATTTTGTGTGCTATATATATATGTAGGTTTGGTAAACTCATAACTTCCCCTGAGCTGTAGTGACTCCTCATTTATTACATTTTCTGTTCTCCAGCCCTTTGTCCCAATAGTTGATCAAACATAGCAAAAATAAAGGACACATCTGCAAGGCGGTGAGAGCAAGAACTGAGAAGCCCTTGTTGTCTTTCAAATTCACACCCCTTTATAGGCATGAACATGATTAATACCAACAGGAATACTGACATGAGTCATCATGACCTTATGGGCCTTCCATCCACTTTTGTTTTATGAAAGAGATGCTTGGACATCATGTTTTACATTAGAAAGAAAATAATACTAGGTTTGAACAACATGAATAAATTATGACATTTTAATTTAGGGTGAACAAGCCAGTTTTTTTTTTTTTTTCATTTGACAAAACGAAGTCTTATAACGTCAATTATTTCTGAACTCTGATGTGTGGCTTGCTCTACAAAATGATGTTAACTGACTTCTTAAAACTTTAAAAACCCATAGAGAAAAAAGCTGCCTCTCAAAGTTATGCTTTCAGCTCAAAAAAGGTTAAATTGAGGTAATGGAAGCATTCAAAGTTGCGCGCTGGTACCTCAGATGGCGCGAAATCAAAGTTCCTATTGATTCACTCCCATCCGCGCTGCGCGGGAAAAGCGACAGAACAGCCGCGAAAATCAGAGAGAGAAACCTGACGTGATTTAGTGACGGCTCTCGCTAGTCCCCGTGAGAAGCGCTGAAGAGACACATCAAACCTGCTTGAAGAGCAGTCGCCGAGCTGAGAGGGTGACAGCAGAGCCGCTATTGATTTCTGCCGGTGTAAAAGCACTCAGGGGAAACATTTCAACCCGCCAGCGAGCTCAAACATCTCCCTGCGTTATGACAGAGGCGTCTGACGTCACACACACATGAATCTTTCAGTAGAGCTGCCTGATCTAAAAATCACGACAGTATTAAATGGACTTAAATGCAGATTTTTTCCTTTCCTTTTCTTTTTTAATATTCACTGTGTTTTAAATATGAACACATATCCCCCCTCCCCAATTAAAAATAGGCATTTGGAGAGAGCAAGATGACACGTTCTACTTCAGCGAGTAGCCTACTTTTAAGGGTAGGTTTATTTGTGAAAGTGAATCTATGTAAAGGAAAAGGATGTACAGTATTTTGATTTTTTCCTGACAGCATGCCACAAAGTTGTTAGAAGGAACCTGACATTAAACATTATTTTCAGCAAAATTTAAACAGTACAAACGAAAGTACAACAAAAAATAAAACCCATTGTTTCGGCCTGGGCAAACTGACTTCTCTATTATGTCTGATTTTTGAACTCTCACCTATGTTTTAAAGGGGTCATATGATGTTGCTAAAAAGAACATTATTTTGTGTATTTGGTGTAATGAAATGTGTTTATGCGGTTTAAGGTTCAAAACACATTATTTTCCACATACTGTACATTATTGTTTCTCCTCTATGCCCCGCCTTTCTGAAACGCGGCGATTTTTACAAAGCTCATCGTTCTGAATAATGTGCTGTGATTGGCCAGCTATCCAGTGTGTTGTGATTGGCTGAATACCTCAAGCGTGAGACGGAAATGTTACACCACTTACCATACTGTTGATGCCCTGTCCGGCTGGAGCGACGAGACAAAAACATTAAAACCCATTACAAACGAGGCATTTGTTGCATCCAGTGGGGACATAATTACGGATTATAATGATTTATGCTGTCTTTTTACGCGTTGCGTTGCATCGCGCCGCGTAAACATAAAACCATGTCTGCATTTGTGATCGGAGAAATGACAAACAACAAGCGCTATTCCACACTGCTCAAAACTCACGTTTGAATCGTCAGTGGCAAATCCTTTAAATATGAAAACGTACTTACAGTCTGTGTTTGCAACTTCACAGATCTTCTTTATGCACCAAGAGCTTGTAAAACTACAAAGAGAAAGGAACAATTGAAATCGCATCATATGACCCCTTTAATTAGCTATTCAGATACAGTTAATTTGAATAACCTCAATGTGAAAATGTGCATTTCAAAACATCTACATATTAACAAAAAATTTAACTGCAACTTCACAGAAGTGCAGTAAGCACTAAAAATGATTGAACTGACTATTTATTGATTAACTAAATTAAAATCCTCTTGAGATCTTCGCCGGAAATGAACAAACCCATTAATTACCACCACAATGTATGCAGACAAGAGCAAAAGCACTTAACCCATAAATGTATGCATTTGTTTGTCCTTGACTAGTCCTAGAAAGTGAACAATTACGAAATAGCACTCAAGGGACTGTACATGATATTCACTCAAGCTCATTAGGCCTATAAAGTGTAAATATAGATTTATCTGTGATAGAGTAATGCTAGTGTGTTTATACGGAAATAAAAGGTATGCACATGTGTATGAAAGATGTTGGTTGCTGCCTTAAACCTCTCAGCTTGTATAATAACCATTTAAGGCAGTTGATCCCAAAGTGAACTATTCCTTATGAAAGCAAATCGTTATTTACTCCCTCTCGTGTTGTTCCAAACTCATATGACTGTCTATTTCAAATGCACCACTGTATTTTGAGTTAGTGCTTAACTGATGTCAGTAACAAATATCAATGACCTCAAGCTAAAGCTCTTCTTTTATGAGCAGAGCTGATGGCTGCTAAAGCGTTAATCAATGAACTCTTCATTAGAGACTGAGCTCAGTCAATACATGAATACAGCTGAACACTTAATCAAATGAATTGATCATTGCAATTAGGTGTGCTCTTAGCTTTAGATTTGTAAATTGCATTTAATCGTATTTACTTTCAGAATATAAAATAACGCAATTAAGTCTAATTAAGTGTCTTTTTATTTTAAGTATAGGCCTATATTCTGGTGATTTGGTGCCCATCTGAAGTTTCCAGCAAACATTCGGTTCAGATTAAATGTCAGATTTTGTTCGCAGATGGATCTGTGGCGCCCTCTAGTGCCAATCAACACACATGGCACAGCTTCACACTGTTTACATGCCCTTAACTTTGAATGAATGATTGAATGAATGAAAGCAAAACAAAAATTGCATAATTTATTCACCTGGCATTGTTCTAAACCTGTATGAGTTTCTTTCTTCTATTTTCGGAAACCAAACATTTAAATTTTGCAACCAAAACAGATGTTAACTATTTTATGGTCACCAAGGTTAAAGCTATACAAGTAAAACGTATAAAGCTAATGTTTTGAAACGTTATTGCATTGCAAAGTTATTGTAATATATTAAATTGACATGTTTTCTATTTTCCTACAAATTAAAAAAAGACATTAAAAATAATATAATTTTTTGACTGCTAGTATATAAATTCACCTCAAAATGTAATTTATTCTGAAGTAAATCTGTTTTGTAGTGTTATGAATTTGAAACAGTCAAGCTGAATTAAAATTGAATTTTTTTTTCTAGACTTGACTCGTGAAAAATTGGAATATTGTATCTCAGGGTTGCCACCTGTAATGTTTTTACATGTTCCTTGTGTTTTTGTATATATTCAACAGAAAACACACCGGGACACTGGGGAATGTGGGTAAAAGCTTCTAAAGCAGCTGTGACTTTTATTTTGTACAGGGTAATTTCACATGTATTTTACAGTCTTTATTACAAAATTATTTACACAAATCAAACTATTATTGATTCACTGTAGATTTGAGGCACGGACGTATGAATTGTGTACATAAAGCAATCCAATGCTTCCCTCTGGTTTCCAGCAAACAGCTTGACCGGCCATCAAATTATGTATTATTATCTGAATCACTCCAGTGGACATTTCATTAATACGTGTTTTAAGAAATACTGCTGAAAGGTGCATCTGTGCAACCAAAACAAACATATTCTACATCCACCAGCGGTCATTACAATCACAACAACCAGCTTCATAAGAATCACTAGGATAGTCTATGGGAAAGTTGATCAGGACACAAATATGAACACAAAGAGTCAGTGATTTCATGCATAGAAAAAGACGGCCACATGAAAGATTAAAACAAAAAAGAGAGATCAAAACATCCATGTGACACTAAAAATATTTGATAGAATAGATTCACAGTGTAAAACATCAGACGATTCTGAAGATGTACTTCTTTTTCAAGGTCGACAAACAGGCTATCAAGCCAATAAGTTCTTGTATACGTGGCCATAGTTATGATGGTTGAACTTGAGATTACGGTTATTTAACAGAAGGCAAATGCAAATTAAAAGTCACGTTCTGTTACATGAAAAACTTGTTCACTTCAAACTCAACATGCAAGATTCTGAATTGTTTGCAGAGTCCAAATAATCCTGTGAAAATGCATTATGAATGCTATGGGCCAGTAAAAAACAAGCATTTATAGGCATTAGTACATTAGTACACTGAGTAATAAATGTCTTTAAAACCATTCAAATACAAACAGAATAAAACGCTGACGAAAAAGCTACAAAACTGACCTAATGACCATAACCGTGTGTTATGTGTGAATAAATCAAAAGGACATTAGTCAGCGTAGATGCTCCATTTAATTTGAACTTAATGAAAAAGTTTTGTGAAAATTACAATAGGACAACATTGAACAGACTTTCACTAAATTAAACGCAACATCTACCCTGACCGTAAGCTTCTCCTTTACTGCAGGACAAAACAGAGAGGAAATGAACAGTTCCTCACTATATAACCACCAGTACAAGCTCAGAATAAGAGATGAATTAAATATGTCTGTTTGGAATGACAACACTAGAGAAACAAGATCATGTCACTAAATGAACAACTTTTATGATGCACAGAGCAATTTGTTGTCGCAACAATGCGAGAACAGACAGGATCTATGCCACTTTCCTTTTAAACGGTAAAAAAGCGTAAGAGATGGCTCCAACTTGCAAGATTGTCTCTTTTCGAACGCATGAGCCAACCGACTTAAAGGCAGATTCTAATGTTAAACAGCAGCAAAATCGTGTGGATATTCGCTGGCAAAAGAAAGAAACTCAAAGTTCACCACACAGATCAACCCCAGCATGTTGTTTGTTGCTTAAGCAGCAGCTTAAGTCAAACTGTTAGTACGCAACATAATATTATTAAAATTGTCTGATTCGTACAAAGACGTTTAAGAAATGCAAACTCTTAACTTTTTTTTTTTTTACTTATATGAACAGCTGTCCAAACCATGCTCTTGTTTAGGTACTAACATTTAAAAAAATTTATCATATGGAAGACACATGAATGAAAGATGCATGTGTCTTTTTCTTTTATTTGATGCTTGCCAAAACTGTACTATAATTCACTGGTGCGGCAATGACACCATATATTATTTCAATGGACAATGAACTGAAATGTTTGATGGGTACATATATCTAGCACAAATGTGCATTGATCAGCCCAAAATTGAATGACGGCATGGCTGTACCATAGGCGCATCATGCATGTTTTTGCTCGATTTAAAATGGGGGAGGCTCCTGCCTCTGCATGCGTCTCTCGGCTGCGGCCGCCAGTCGTCTACGCCTCAAGGTCACTGAATCGGAGTCTTCATCCTCCATGGAGGGCATGGCATCATCAGTATCAATGGCAGGAGCATAGAACACATCTCCTTCATCAGACTTTTTGTGTAGATAACGTCTAACAAAGAGAGAACAGAGTGTTATATTAAAACTTAACTGGACCTAAAACAAAGCCTTGGGGCACTCCCACTGATCATTGAAGATACTGTAAAGCTTTTCACCATCTCTGACATATGACAGACCGGAAGTCATTTATTTTCAACAGAGCAGTACCAGTGCTGCGTGGATCAGAATTTTCTGACCCGATGTGAGCTTTGTTTGTGTTAAAATATTTGAACTTTTGCTGCTAGACCACCCAGCTGAATGTTACATAATCTAATCAGATAAAGATTTATTGGTGTTTTCCCACTAAAATGTTATTCTTCAAACACTATTTCTTTAAAAATGGGTGGTTATAAATAACTTTTTCCGAAACAATAATTAAATAATTTGTGACCTTTATTAGCACTAGAAAACCTGCTACTTCAAACGTATTGGTGGACATTTGTTTTGTGTGGATATACTGATAATTCATTCAACCACAGTGAATAAACAATGAAATTGAAATTTCTGTGCAAAGGCCACTAGGGGGTGAAATGCAGCAAAAAATGCGAATGACGATGGCAATTGTGAAAAGACGGCTTAACTGTTTCATGCAAAACAGAGCAAAGCAGTACAAGCTGTTCAGCTTACACTTGTTAAGAAGTTATAGTGAGACGCACCTGCGAGCTCTCTGGAGTAGCTCCTCCTTCCTCTGCATTAGCATCCTCTGTCTCTCATCTGCGGACTTGGAAAAGCGGCTCCCCCGCACCTCAAAGTCTTCCATCTCAGGGGCAGCGACCTCTGAACTGCTGCTGGCACCCGCTGAATCTTCAGGAGCAGTGTTTACCTGTATGGGTGTGCGCTCCACAGGCTAGAGGAGAGAAACATGCTTTTAAATTAGTTTCTATGCAAGCAATATATTATTTCAGCAGCTAATAAACACCTTTTGGTAGAGGTGTTAACCTCACCTGTGTTGGGAAAGGCACCTGAATCCGGCCCTCCAGGATGTTATCAGTGGTGACCTCAACAGAGCGAGTGAGCTGCAGATCCTGCAGGATCAGATGGTAAGGGACCTGTGGAAACATTTCCTGGATCTGATGGGCCTGTGAAATTCAAAGAAAGTCAGGTTTATAACATGTGGAGAACAGATGAGGCTGTTTGTAAACATGCTGGACGCCAGCAGAAGGACTCACCATGGCATTGAGCTGCGAGTTGTTGGCCTGTGCGATACTAAGGATGTTGGTGGTGTGCATGACCTCCACAGAGAAACTTGGTAGCCAACTGGCAATGCGCGACCCTGAGGGTGAACGAGTGGAGATTAATATGTCATATGATGCTTTAATCACCATAAGCCTATTTGTTTTAGAGGTTATTAAAAATAAGAATAATATATTTGGTGTATCCAATAATCGATGTTGTTATAATTTCTTTGATTTTCATATCCATGTATTAATTTATGATTTATTGATTTATTTACTCATTACTGTTACTCATTTGTGTTTATCTTTTATTTTTGTTTGATTTATGTTCATACTTAATATTTGTGGTATTCTCCAAAAATATGTGTGTTATACTGTACATATATATCTTCTTTACTGGTGTTTGTTAGATATTGGACATCATTCAACTACTGCCTGAGTAATAATGTTTCTCAGAATTAGTCATTAACACTTTTAGATGTTCTTTTCCAGAAACAGTGTTTTTGTAATATGTAAGATACGATATTTGAAAGTGCTAGTTTTGCTGTATTTGTTGTAAAGGTGTGAAATCCTTGTCTTGCCACACATCTATTTTTATCTGACTAGTCACGATGACTTAGCCTGACCTGACCTATGGTTGATACAACAACATATGACACAATAGATGAGTGACATAATGGATAAGTCTATTTGACCTTTTCTTATTAGATGTAAACACCACTTAAGGGGGAAGTAAGTTTCCTTCATATATTCCTTGTGCCCACTGTGATGGCTTACTTCTACTCTTTTTTTCTCCTTTCTTATGATTCTTTTGCTTTTCCCCTTTCCTTGCATTCTGCTTCCATCTTACTTCTTTTGGGCTTTTCTTCTGATATTCACTACTTCATCCCTTAAATATAACAATTTGGAATACTCTGCACTTTAGTATAAATTATTGAATAAAATTAGAATTAAACTTAAAACTTAAACTTACATCTTATTATAATTTTCATATTTACTTTATTATTTTATTATATTCATAAAATTGTATTTAATAAATTAGTTTGTCCTTATTTGAAAATTGATCTCTAACATAGCCAGATAGCCAGATAGCCGGATAGATGGATAGATGGATAGATAGATGGATAGATGGATAGATGGACGGATGGACGGATGGATAGATGGACGGATGGATGGATGGACGGATGGATGGATAGATAGATGGATAGACAGACGGATAGATAGACGGATGGATGGATGGACGGACGGATGAGATGGATGGATAGATAGATAGATGATAGATAGATAGACAGACGGATAGATAGATAGGTACTTTGTGCAGTCATGTAGTTTTGTATTTACTTTTTATTTTTTACCATCCATTTAAACAGGCTTTTTGCTACTGTACCAATAAGACTTCAGTAAGTAAATGTATGCTGCTATGATTGGCTAAACTTTGTTCAATGTTGTTTATCAGGGTGGATCAACTTGCTCAGCACTGAATGGGCATTATGTAAGTTAATGATAAGCATATGATAGTTGATAAGATTTTGGCAGTGACGTCTTAAACATGAAGATTTCTAAAGGAGCCACTGCTATAGCTAACTTTCAGTAAATGGTCTGGATTTTGTGTGAATATGTAAAGAAACGCCTCACCATCAAAGTGGAAGAAGTGGTTATGCTGGTTAAGGTGCGGTCGGGCCTCTGTTCCTGGTCCAGCAGCCAAGTTATCATCCAGCGGCTCCCTCTGGCCCTCCTCTCTCTCCCTCCCGCCTTCATTAATGTCCAGTGACATACGGCACGTGGGACAGGAGGTGTCCTGCTCCAGCCAAGAGCGCAGACAGGAACTGGACATAAACCATTAATGGTCAGATTAGCATTCAAATATTCCAGAACCAAAGTGCTGACAATAGCTGGTTATTGCTCACTTATGGAAAAGATGGCCACAGGGCAGCTTGCGTGCTGTAGTCATTGAATCCCAGCAGATGGCACAATCATCGTTATTAGCCAGCAGTTCATCAGGCGTTGCCACAGCAAACCTGCGCACAAGGAGAGGTGTTTATGTCAAGACACAAGGTCTGGTTTTTATCAGCCAATGGAGCAGTCTGCTCACTTCTGATTCATAATCTACATTAAATAACGCATTCAAACATATGATACACGTGAAGAATATGTTTAGAACTTTTTTGGCACTGTGGAAATTAAATATTTTCATGATAATTAAGTATATTTTAATAAATCAATAAGCCCCAAGAAGCCGTGGTTTACAGTGAATTTATAACAGCTAAGGGGGTTTACTCCGCTTCGCGTCGTACCTAACAACGCCTCTTAGCTTTTAAAAATTCACTGTAAACCACGGCTTCACGGGGCTTATTGCTTTTATTAAACGGTTATTCCATATACGTAGTAAGGTTTCACAAAATAAAACAGAGCAAATAAAGTGTAATGATATTAATAAAAACTGTATTCTTCCACCAAACAATGTAGTTCCTCAGAAACAGTTGTGGTTGCAACAAAGTGGTTGCCGAGCAACACAAAGTAAACAAAGGTGTGTGTTTGTAGAGTAATTTACAACAGCTTTGAACGCGGCTCAGCCAATCAGAATCAAGGACCGGAACTATCCGTTTTATAAACAATTATCTAATTTCAATATTAAAAAAAAAAAGTTCTCTAATATAGTAATGAAAATAATCCTGTCTGAACAATTTTTTTAAAATTAAAATCAGCATGAATTAAATATATTAAACAAATAGTAACATGATGTACAAGGGAACACACAAACAAACAAATACATTGTTCATCTGTTTTGGGAGTTGGTAAGATTTTTTTATATAAATTTCTTATGCTCACCAATGCTGTATTTATTTGATCAAAAATACAGGGAAAAACATGTGACTGAAATAAATTATATTCCAGTTTTAAATGTGCATCTGATTACAGATAGCCTGGGATTACACAAGGTTTGTATTTTAAAGAGAACCAGTTCGAAGGAAGAATAATTTTCTTTTAGGGTTAAAATAATTTCTCAATATGAAATTCGAATGGCATGACAATTAGAGATTAGACTGTACAGAAATTGAAATCTACATACACACTATATACACATAGTCATGCAATGCTGATGTTAACATTAACCATTTGAGAACAAAGTATAACAATAATAATAATGTACACGGTTTGATGTGATATGAGCTAACCGATCATTAGATTTAATCACCGTTGGAGCGTGATTTATTGTAATGCTTTTTTTCCTCAGTTGGTCAGAACAAACATGGCAGACTTGTTACTTGTTCAGATGACAATAACGCAATAGTACAAATTGCGCAAATAACTGCAATTGAAGGTTTTCAAACAGAGATGCAGCTTTAAAATTGAGTGTAATTAATTAATTCTAGTATGCTGATTTCAATATTTCTGTAGCAACCATGATACATTTGATTAAAAGAAAGAAAAAACAAATTCAGGAAAATACAACCTGGAGAATTAATCTCATTAAAACCAGTTAAACTCTGCGGACCCGGATACGGGTCCAAAATGACGTGTAGTCACACACATACAAAGCAGCTTATCAAAGGTAAAATCTCTTTTCAAAGTCCAGAGGTGATATCCTGTGCAAACTTCTGGTTTCTAGCCACAAGTTATCTACTTCAGCGACTTTACTTACCAGTTGTGCAATATAATTCACTGCCTGCAGGAATGCAGTTGTTTTATTAGTAAGTCTGAAAACATCAGGCTCCTCACCTGGACTCCATATTGTCAATAACACGCAAGTAGTTTTTATGGCGGCGAATTCTTCTCTGCACCTCGTGAAAGAGAAAGCGCAGCTGCATAAAGATCACAAGACTAGCCATGGACAACCAGATGTTCCCAAAGAGCTGCAAGGGAGTGAGAAACAACAATACATGATCATACAGATACTCTGAATTAGGGTTGTGCTGACAGACTTAAGTATCAGCGATATCACCTGCAGCTGATGCCTTTGACGATAGCAAGACGATTATTATTATTATCAGGCTAGTAATACTGTCTAATTTATATTATTAGGGCTTATTTGTTCCATTGTATTTCTTTTTCCGCGTTTTTACAGTGTCGTGCATTATAAGCAATCACACACGGTTCCGTTGAGTTTATGAATGCAGTGGCCAATCAGAGGCGTTCAGATGAGTCATCGATGAAACAGCAGAGTTTTGTTGTTTAGCTGTCGCGAATTCTCTCATCATAAACAACAAAGTGCAGATGCATGTGTGAGGCAAGTAGACAAGCCTTATTCATCATACAATGTAGACAGCTTCACTGATTATACGGGAGTGTTTTTTTAAATGCATAAACTCGCGCTAGACTGAAGTCAGCGATGTTCTTTGGTAATGTAAATGTTCTTTGCTCGCTTTCTGTTCGCTGCTGTTTGAATAACTGAGGACATGTAAGCTTTATAATTATAATAACTTACAGTGTTTCTATTACATTGCTATCATGTTAAATATAAATTAAGTCATTTTAAAAACATTAGGCTGATTTTAGCCTTACGCTGGAGTTGGTTCACTTTCCGGCAATGAGACTAAGCAGATCAATAATTAAACAAATCAGCACGATAATATCGTGTAACGCGATCTCATAGGCTGACGATTGAGCATATCGCCCAGCGCTACTCTGAATTATTCAAAAGCTCATCTAAAGGTCAAACACAGACGTGAGAAGAGAAAGAAATCACGGGTGACACTTGTATTTACTTGAGGATGTTTGAGACTGCCAAATCAAGGTCATAACTGTAAACAGCTGATCAGTGAATATTACGTCAGACTCAGGACTCTAATAAAAGTCGAATGAGTCCAATCAGGCCAGATTCATACATCGCTATGGGCCAGTCACACAGCCATGATAACCCTGTTTGTCCATTCTTGAGTATTTCTCTCACCAGCATATGGATGTGATGCATCAGGTCTAGGCAGAGGATGGCTAACTCCATGATGAAGTCTGTGTAGTAGATATGTGAGCTCTTGTTCTCCCAGGTTCCCTCATGGTTCAGGTCCCACAAGTGAATGGAATACCTGCAAATAACAGAACGAAACCTTCAGATTCATGCTTCTGCTCCCTCACGATGAAGAAATCTGACGGCGTTCTCAACAGAGCACGCACCGTATGATGACGTATCCTGTGCGCACTGTCACCAGCAAACACTGCAGGACAGGAGACAAGGTTTGGGGTTCATTCAGGATGCATTTGTCAAAAAGAGACGACCAAAATGCGGAAAAACAAATGAGAGAAACTATTCTTCTCTTTACGGTCACTTAAAAAGGTTTGCAAAGTGCTCTTACCTCGGCTGCCATGAAAGCGACAATGTGCATGCCGTGAAGATGCCCGACTAGAGCGCAGAGCACTGCTAGACCGCCACAGCACGCCAAAACAGACGCCAGCAGAGCCAACACTCGCACATGACTGCTCATCGGAGTAGTGGGAGAAAACGAGAGCTGCCACAGAGAATAACACAATATATACATACATGAATAAAGCACCAGGGAAAGGTGGAGGAAGGAGAGAAGGACGGAGGGAGCGAAGGTAAATAAGGTAGGGAGTAAATAAAAAAGTAGGGAAGCAAGGAAGTGAATAAGAAGGAAAGGGAAGGAAGAGTAGAGGAAGGAGAAAACGAAGGAAGAAGAGAAGGAAGCAAAAAAGAAAAGAAGAAGAGAAATGAGCAAGTAAGTAGAGAAGGTAGGAGCAAATGCAACATAAAGGAGGGAAGGAAGTAAGGAAGGAAACATGACAGAAGCAAGCAAGGAAGGAAGTAAATAAAAGCGAACAAAGGAGAGAAAGGAATGAAGAAAGGAAATAAGAGGGGAGGAAGGAGAGGAAGCAGGAAATAAAAACAGAAAATGCTGGGAGTAAATAAGAACGTAAAGGGAAGGAAGTAAAGAAGGAAACATGAAGGAAGTCAATAAAAAGGCAAGGAAAGGGGGAAGGAAGTTAGGGAAATTAAATAGGGAAAGTAAATAAGGATGTAAGATAGGAAGCATGAATGGAAAAGGGAAAGAAGAAATCTAGCAAGAAAGGCAGTAAATAAGAACGTAAGATAAAAGAGGGCAGGAAGTAAAGAAGGAAACATGAATGAAGCAAGGGGGAATAAATGAAAAAAGTAAAGGAGGAAAGAAAGGAAGGAAGGAAGGAAGAAGAAAAGGAAGTAGGAAGGAAGAAATGAAGGAAAGATCGAAAGGAAAGAGACAGCAAATAAGGGAAAAACATTAAGGAAGTAAACAAGGAAGCAAGAAAGGAAGCGTGAATGAGAGAAAGAGAGAGGGAAAAGATGCCAGTAAGATGTACCAGATGGAAATGAGGAAGTAAATAAGAAAGGAAGAAGACTAGCATGAACGGAGGAGAGAAAGAAGGAAATCAGGATGGAAGAGAGCAGATAAGGAAGTGAAGGACGGAAACATGAAGGAAGTAAGAAAGGAAGCCGGCAAGGAAAGAAGGAAGGTAGGTAATTAAATCAACTAATATTTTGAGCCATGAAAAACAAACATAAATGTCTTAAAGTCCCCCTGTAGTTAAAAATGTTATCCTTTAAAACTCATCTTTGATCATCAAAATTACATATTTAAATGTTTTTTCTTGTGAAAATAATTTTCTCATGCCTTAAAATAGCTTGAATGCAACTCTACACCCTTGCCTCATTTCCTATACATGGATCTATGAATATGCAAATTAGCCCCGCCTCCACTCGGTCACACACCAGCCAGCGCCTCCTGATCCACTGACTGAACTGTAGTAAACGCGATACAATGGCAAGAGTAAATATTGGTTTAATTAAGCCATATGAACCAGAAAGAAGCTGGTATGCTCAATGTAAGCAAGGAGACTGATGACTAGCTTCGTGAGGTAACATTATCTGTTTGCGCTGGTTCGTACACGGATAATGACTGATAAAACTGTTTTTACTAGCGGACAACTACAGTGGATACTGTAACATTCGTTAAAGTTACTTACTTGACAATGTTGTGTCCTCAAAATGCCTTGAAGACTCAAATGCAGCCAAGTTTGTGATTCCAAATGGCGCCGGCGATCATACGTGCGTGACGTGCGGAGGTGCGTCTGACTCCGGGCTACTTTTACACTGCTGCCGCGGGTTATTATTTAAGTCAGCGGTTCTAAATACAAATAAATAAGCGCTAACAGCACATGACATCGTGAAAATAGGCGGAAATATTAACAGTTAGCGAAATATCTACAGAAAAAATATAACTGTTACCAGATTAACCTGGCTGCCTTCTCACTAGACCCTCTGCTTTGCAGAACAGTTAATGATATGCTAAGGATAGGATCCCTTGACGCGATTGGTTATTGAGTTTTGTGACGTAGCAAAACAAAAAAGGCTGTTTCAAACCGCGTTTCTGTGACTGCCTTTGGGAAACTACAGTTTTAAGGAGAAAATACACAGCAATGGTGTTGATTAATAGATTGGCACATGGTTTGTCTAAAAGCATATTAAAAACACCACATAGACAAATTAACAACATAAAAAACTTGATTTTCACCACAGGGGGACTTTAACCGTACTCAGATTCTCCAAAAGATATCTTGCAATTTCAGAGTGAATTTTTTTTGTACTAATTTGGCAGTTAAAGCAAATGGTGATGTTTGTCAAAACAGGAAATTCTGAAAGTATGCCATGTAAAGCAGGCTAAACGGTTTCCTGAATTAATTTGTCTAATAGTACTGCTATAAATGAAAGCTTCCACTCGTCATGAACATTAGTGTTTATTGATGTGGTAAAGACGTTTTGCTCACATATTCAAAGCGGTCTTTGCAGAGCTGCACCATCAGATGAAGGAAGATGAGCACGGAGAACCACAGACACCACAGCACCACCTCCTCCACCCGCTGCACGTTCAGCACGCCGAAGATGAAGATGAACTTGTAGAAGACGAAGTTCCAGAACTTATCTTTCAGATGCTGTCAGACAGAGAAGAGTGCAAGAGCAGATTGACATCAACACATCAGTACAGTGGAAATCTTTAGTGCATGCAATATACCCTTTACATGTTGAACACTTGACATTTACAGGAACTTACAAAAGTTTTAATGTTTTTGAAAGAAGTCTCCTCTGCTCACCAAGGCTGCATTTATTTGATCAAAAATACAGTAAAAACATTAAAATTGTGAAATATTATTACAATTTAAAATAGCTGTGATCTATTTTAATATATTGTTAAAATGTAATGTATTCCTGTGATGCGCAGCTGTATTTTCAGCATCATTACTCCAGTCATCAGTGTCACATGATCTTCAGAAATCAGTTTAATATGCTGATTTGCTGCTCAAAAAACATTTATTATTTTTGTCAGTGTTGAAAAGTGATGATATTTTTGTGGAAACCATTATATATACTGTATATATATATTTACTTTATTTTTTTTTCTAGGAGTCCATGAAGAATGAAGATTGTCACAAAATTTATTTTATATTCAGTAAAAATTAATAAATATAAAGACATTTCAAAGGACTAAGCAACGGTAAAATACATATAGGAATTTTGTACTATCACTTTTGACCAACTTAATGCAACCTTGCCCAATAAAAGTATTAATTTCTTTAAAAAAATATTTTGATTATTTTTTGTCAGTATTTATTTATTTATTTTTAGATTATAGTCTTCTGTCAGTAACTACATCATTGATTTGAACGGTTATCTTCCCCCTTTCAATTTCTAAATCTAGCAAGACAATATATGAATAATAAACGTCTGTTTTAATATGTAAATCCTGGCATTATATTTGTTCAAATTGGCATTTCCATCGGCCACTAAAAACATATCCAACCATTAAAAACAACAAATTCAATTAAAAAAAACACCAACAGACTGACTATATGTCTCTATATGGAACTGACAAAGTAATTGAGGATGCTGTGATGTTATTATTATTATATATATATATTTTTTTTTATTATTTAAACCTGTTGCAGTAGAGAGACTGCACATTATTGCCTAATACAGTTGGATGCTTTATTGTCATTTGCAACAGTGTTGTCCTCATACACGACTCCTACCTGCTTCTCGCTGACTCTCAGCGGTCCAAACACGATGCACTGGATCACTTTAGCTATCAGCATGAGGATGCAGCACGCCGTGTTCACCATCACCTGCGGGAACATGACAGCTTCTTTAAAGAAGGTCACAGACCAAGCCTTGTGGGCTAGAAATCTACACCACAGGAGTCTCACGCACCCAGACGAAGAGACTGTCCGTGATGAGGTAGAGCAGCACATTAGTGGCCACACTCCCGGAGATGTCCAGCTTGATCTCCTCCTCAGATGTGCTGTGGGCGTCCTCTGGCAGTGCAGAGGAGTAGTCTCTGACTGTGCTGTAGGCACTTGACATGCTCCCGGCCAGCAGAACTGTGCTCAGGGCTGTGTATGTCTGCAAACTGGGCCAGGGGAAGCGCTCCAGAAACAGCAGAGGCATCCTGACAGCTTCTCAGCTTCGACTTTATCGGGGTAACTGGATCTTCTGGATGTTGAATCTGCTCTACCAGTCCCAGTGCAGAAGAAACCAGGTCACAGGTGTCCTTTTATAGATGACAACAAGTCCTTGGCAATCAAAGTTAAACTCAAATAAACCCTAGGATCTAAGAGCCCAACCAGAAAGGCTGGTTATATAAATACAGGCACTGCTCTGGAGTATCAACTCTTGTTGTAGCTACGTGTCCTTTTCTGTTTACATGCACGAGACTCTATAAACAAACTCAAAATACAATATATCGTTATGTATTACGTTTAAACCCTATTACGGCGAGTACAGTTTGATTCATAAAACCAATGTTTATATTTAAAGAGCATATGATTATTTTACATTAGCATGGACGCTAATCTGCTTTAGCTACGTAATGGTTAAAACACGACAAACAGTGTCATAGACTGATCAGACGGTCTTTAAATCCGTCCCGTGTTGCTCGACGATCAGTCTGATGTCTGCTTGGTTTAAATAAAACGGTGAAATATCATGTTTAGATCTGTTTCTCTGGCTGTTTCTGTCACTCATACCCGTTTCCGCTGCCTCTGACGTCACTCTGTGAACTTCCGGTGATCATGTGACAAAAGGCGGGCCTTCTCGTGTAAACAAATATGAAGCATTTAAATAGCACAAGCCATATTAGCCTTACAACACACAACCTCTATAACCAGTCAAGGTCTGTCAAAATAGCCTAGCTGTTATGTATTATTGTGTAGCTGTTTACACAACAGGTATTGAGACTAAAATAGCACTATGGTACTTCTCACACAAATAATGGACAATATTTGAACTAGAAGCTCATTGTAAGCTCACTATAGGGTTGAATTAAAATTTATAATTTTATGTATATATAAAAAAATGTGAAAGTATTTTATTTTTAAATACATTTTAAAACCATTGAAACTAATTTGTGTAGGCCTATATTCAAAAAATAAATAAATAAAATCATATACATATATATATTTTTTTTTCTTTCTTTTTTTTCTAGGAGTCCTTGAAGAATGAAGATGGTCACAAAATGTATTTAATGTTCAGAAAAAAAAATCATAAATACAAAGACATTTCAAAGGACTAAGCAAGAGTAAAAGTTTGAGAAACATATCTACTGAAATGCCAAACAGGTAACAGTTCTTTACAGTGAACACTCAGCAGATTCAAACATGGGACTGTGCTTTATATGCACAATGCTGTGTATTTCCGTCTTAATAATCCGTCTTAATAATCGTCTTATGATTATCATACATTTCAAGAATAGATTTTACATTTACAATCAAATTATTTCACAAGGATAATAAAAGGCATGTCTGGTTAAGGCACATATTGAATCAAAAACTATGACTGGTAAATATTTTACATTCACATTTGATTTGTTCAGTCAAAATAAAAAAAAATAAAAAATACAAATAATAATGATTGAATGCATCCTCTATTAGGCTGAAAATGTTATGTACATGGCATTGCTCATAGAAAATATTTTCTACATGTACAGTAATGCAAGATGCTGAGACCAAAACAGTTACAATGAGATGTCCAGTTCTCTGATCATCAGTTCTGTAGCAGTACTGACGTCCTATGCAAGATACACCATTTCCATCGATCTTCTAATCGGTGGGTCATTTTGTCCAGGAGTGAAGCTACGGCATACTGTTGGCATTCCCTGAATCTGGAGTCTCAAACAAGTCTCTTACAATGATTTCACTTACTGCAAAGGAAATAAAGCAAACAATTTAATACGAGATGCTTAGTGGCAAATCTCTCTTTCTCTCTCTCTCTCACACACACACACACACACACACACACACACACACACACTCACACACAAACGTATATAAAACACACTTATAACATCTAACTGTGCTTTATATGCACAATGCTGTGTATTTCCGTCTTAATAATCCATTCTATGCTTCTTATGATTATCATACATTTCAAGAATAGATTTTACATTTACAATCAAATTATTTCACAAGGATAATAAAAGGCATGTCTGGTTAAGGCACATATTGAATCAAAAACTATGACTGGTAAATATTTTACATTCACATTTGATTTGTTCAGTCAAAATAAAAAAAAATAAAAAATACAAATAATAATGATTGAATGCATCCTCTATTAGGCTGAAAATGTTATGTACATGGCATTGCTCATAGAAAATATTTTCTACATGTACAGTAATGCAAGATGCTGAGACCAAAACAGTTACAATGAGATGTCCAGTTCTCTGATCATCAGTTCTGTAGCAGTACTGACGTCCTATGCAAGATACACCATTTCCATCGATCTTCTAATCGGTGGGTCATTTTGTCCAGGAGTGAAGCTACGGCATACTGTTGGCATTCCCTGAATCTGGAGTCTCAAACAAGTCTCTTACAATGATTTCACTTACTGCAAAGGAAATAAAGCAAACAATTTAATACGAGATGCTTAGTGGCAAATCTCTCTTTCTCTCTCTCTCTCACACACACACACACACACACACACACACACTCACACACAAACGTATATAAAACACACTTATAACATCTAACTAATTTTAATAATGCATAATTCATTTTTGCCCATCAGCAGTATATTAAATCTATCTGAGGGCAGTGTTGTATATTGGGGTTTTCCTGCAGGTCTTATTCTAATTCAAAACACACTTAAGCATTCGCACAGAGGCGTTAAACCACAAAGACTGAAACTGAGTTTTAATTACCGGTAATACAGTCTGTTGTGCTGTTTTTAAGGTTTCTACTTAATAGCTCAAACCTAGCTTCAACTAGTTCCTGGAATCCCATTCGTTTCTTTGACTTTCCAATAACCAAGCAAATCTATTAATACACTTTAAACACACAAGAAAGCATATGAAATGGGAAACAGAGTATACAGTGTGGGCTATAAATATATCTAAGCCAGAAAAGGTAGCTGTGCATTTGGACAAGAATCAGTTTGAGCGAAGATGAAAGACAACACACACACACACGCACGCACGCACGCACGCACACACACACACACACTCTCTCTCACACACACTTGCACACGCACACACACACACACACACACACACTCTCTCTCACACACACTTGCACACGCACACACACACACACACACACACACTCTCTCTCACACACACTTGCACACGCACACACACACACACACACACACACTCTCTCTCACACACACTTGCACACGCACACACACACACACACACACACACTCTCTCTCACACACACACACTCACACACGCACACACACACACACCCTGGCAGTGAAGGGAGCATGTTACCGGACAACAGCACTCACTCAACAGGTGTTTTCCAGTCCACTGCACCTGTCCTCTCTAACACGAATAAGTGCTGAGTAAAAAAAATGAGTGCCGCAAACAAAAATAATACAGTAATAATACATAATAACACAAATTAACATAAATAGTTATGATTTAAATGTGCAATATATAATTTAATATTTAATCTAAACCCTGTTTCTATATTTAATTAAAAAAAAAACATTTAAAAAATGTATTAAAAACACTAAATGCAATTAATTTGATTGTATGTTATATATTTTTATTCATAAAATCTAAATTTAGCTATCTCAATCTGGTAAAAATTAATAACTTTTTAATAACTTTTTTTTTTTTAACTAAATTTATTCTATCCATAGAAAAATAAACACAAGGAATGGACAGCTTCATTAACAAAGATCAAGTTCAGTCAAGCCAATGTGCTTCTTCTACGTGTCTTCTTCCAGGTTAATGGCAGCAATATCTTATGTGAAGTATGTGAGACTGTCACAATACAGCTGTGTAAAACTAGCGGTGGATTAGCCTTTGAGGTATATTTAGCGCTTTCAGTGACTCCATGCAATGCCAGTATCCTCTTTCCCGCTGCACTGTGGGGACAGTGGACTATAATTAGGCCCAAACTAAACGGGCTTCCAGACACTAGGGGTGGCAGCTGCTAGTTTTTCTTGAGAGTAAACAAAAAGCTTGGTTAGCATATGCCACAAAGCTAGCGTATATTTTGGTATTGAAGCCTGGGGTGAGTTATTGACCCAGCATGAGACACAGTAAGTGTGTCTTACATGTAAACAGATAACATGGTCTGGAATAAACAGATACAATCACAGTAATATTTGGTGTTAAAGTGAAACTGTTAATGGTTTCCTTTATTTCTGGATCACTAAAGGAGGACTCAACATCTTTGGCATAATCTGGATTACCAAATTTAAAAGCAGAAATGTGAAGTTTGTATGTGTTGCTTGCTTCGGCAGTAAAATTGTCTAAATCTTGTTTTTAGCATTGGGATTACGGTTTCGGGTGGTTTAGAAGAAGACTTAAGGTCTCTGCACACTGAGTCCGAAATTTTTGTATGCGTTTTTTCGTATTCTAAATCCTAAAAATTCATCATGCACAGAAACCTTGCACACTGAGTCCAATGCGTATTAATTAATCCGTTGCGAAAAAATTCGCAAAACAGCACTAAATGGAGTCTTCAAGCAGTGAGGATGATTTTGTTGTCTTCTCGCTTCTTAAAAAGAGAAAAAAGAAAGGAAATATTGGGTCCATCCAATCCTGAGCTATAGAGAGGAAGGAGAGTTCCCCCTCAGGAGCAGCGGAATTATCCCGTGCGATTCAAAGTTTACTTCAGGATGTCAGTGGCTCAGTTTGATTCTTTGCTAGCGATACTAGAGCAACATATTAAAAAGAAGACCATCAATTTCCGTGAACTCAGTGTGCAAGGATCTTTACGGTACTTTGTGCTGCGAGACGAAGTGGATGAACTTGACAATCGCCATTCTGGATTTTAGCGTTCGCTTGTACGGTGGCTCTGAACTGTCAAAACACCTCTCAAAATGCTTGCAACGGATGCGAAAAACGGAAAAAATCAAACCTGATCCCAATTTTTTTGACGTACGAAAATGTCGGAGGCAGTGTCTAAACGTGATTGACATAACGTGAGGTCGTATTTATTTTTTAACATTGCACATTTTTCAGTGTGCAATGACCTTTACTGTTAGTTCTTATGGCTAGACCTTTGAAACAGTGTCATTTTATTTATTTTGGAGAATCCCTTGCCTCAAGATCCACTTTCCTGCAGAGGTTAGCTCCAACCTGCCTGCAAATTTGTAGTAATCCTGAAGATCTTGATTAGCTTGTTCAGGTGTGTTTGATTAGGGTTGGAGCTAAACTCTGCAGGACAGTGGATCTCGAGGTCCAGAGTTGAGGACCCCTGTTCTATAGACTAGTTTTGCTTGTCAAAGCACATTTCTGTGGTAATCAACATTGTCCAGTTATCTTCATTGCTTTAAAATGGTTCTCCTTGGAGTCTTACCATCATCAAGAGTGATATCCTGTAGGCCTATGGACCGAAAGGCTAGCTCTTTCTCTTCCTTTGGTTTCTGTTTAATGTTGACGCGTTCTCCACCTTGTGACATATTGTAACTTTTGATGGACTCCTGAAGAGATGCACCTAAAGGTTGAGGGTCCATCAAATTCTTTCTGACAGACGGTGAGTTAAAAGGCACTTTGGCAAGAGTAGGCTGATGGGAAAGAGGAAGCACCTGGGAAGACGAGGAGTGTGGGAATT